CTCCACTTTCAGAGAAAATTAAATTACATTAACTTTTATAGTTATCACTACCAAGATTTCAAATAAATTGAAGTTAGATTTTCGGCTCATTGGGATATTACAAATATATTATTTTTATTTGTACTCTATTCTTTCTTCTCCATGTAGAATACTGATCCTTGCTTGATAAGAACACTTTCGCTTTCCAAGTGGTCAGTCTATATCGATAATGATTTAGTCATTCAATGTCTTATATTCTGATTATACTAGGTGTTGTTATAAATAGTGAATACTCCTGCAGGAGAATGTGTTATTCAGATGTATTTCCTACCTATATCTACATTGACAACACCGCCTCTGTACCACTTGTTATCACGTGATTTATTGGCCAATCGAAATACGATTTATTCAGTCATAGTACTGTGATAAACCAATGACGTTCGACTGGTATGATCGGCCTGGCGTCCTTTGTTCGCCTAGCCCGTCTAGTTGAGTACAGAACACCGATAACAGCTTCCACTATGCGGACCATTTATTTCACACACATATAGTTTATATACTGGCCAAACATATCGCAGCACACCATAAAATAGCAAACAAAATTTTTACAAAATCAAACCTAATAGTAGCCGTGAACGTTGACGACGGAAATTAATAAGGTGAGTATAACTTAAGAATAGCATATTGTATAATAATAATTTATGGGCGAAAATGAAGCTTATAATGAGAGGTATATAGACATACATAATCTAGTTACTGAACAGTTAGACAGTTGGAATATATATGATACTAGCTCATTAACAGTTCTTATAACTCACTCGTAATTTAATCTTAGTATGCCTTTTTGAACTAGTGTTTGAAAATTGTTGCTATTTATCGTCTTTTTGATACATTTGTGGCGCATTAGTGAAGATGTATTGGGATTCATACATTATGCCTGTAAAAGTGGCAAATACCTGCCCCGAAAGGAATATATTCTTATTATTAATTCGAAATCTTACAGCCATCATACGAATCTAATAATGGTGCCTTACCAATCAATTTTCCAAAAGTAGGAACATACGGATTGTCAATAATTTACAGTGATGTTAAACTTTATCTACTCCTTTACAACAGCCTTACTTAATGTTTTGGTACCCTATTGTAGCAGAATTTGTGTTATATGTATAGAAAAAATTGAATAATAGTTAGCTAGTCACGACTAACTATGGGAAAATAATGTTGTACTAATTTGAAAATCTTTTACTTCACTGAACCAATGATACAACCTAATAATACAGATGTGCCGTTAAGAAAAAAGACGAAAGCGTTAAGGAAACCCTGAGAATTCTTCGAAGGCTTAAACAGACCATGAGAACACTGAGAAACATTTTATCTAATCAGCGTTGAGTAGAAGTCTCTCAGACACATCTGGAAAGCGAAAAGTCACGTGTCACATTTCTGATTGAATGATCACATATTCTGCTATTATGTTTAATAGGGTTTCAGAAATTTGCAGAAGCCAAAGCCACTTGAAATGCTATAAATATCCTACATTTTCTGTACACAAACTGACATTGGATTAAATAGTTATTTCCATATTTCGCTCCTTGCCTTTCGTGTTCAGGTTGTCGTGTCGAGTTAGCCTGGGGATTATTAGAAGAGATTGCGAAACTGATTTAAGCCTTCAGTCAGCAGAATAATTACTGATGACGAAGAAAACTAAAATTAACATTTATTCTGTACAACTATAAGCCTATATGGAACATCAGAGAAATGGTTTTAACAGCATCAAATAAGAATAATGGAAGCCCTTATGCAGAAAATGTGCTTATCCCAGCAAAACACAGATTTTATGAACTACTAGTAACGTAAACAGATTCAGTCACTGATGCCATCCATGAGTTCGACTGTTACGATGTAGCGGGTGTAACTTTTGACACACGGTTCAAGAAATACGAAGATCTGTCTTGAATCTCTTTTCAATATCCGTTACAAATGCTTGAATATAACGAGAAAAATCAGGTATCTGGATGAAGCATGTAGAAATCGTGAGCTGAGAATGTTAGTAATTTGATTTGTCTCCCGATATAGAAGACCAGTTTAACTGCTTTGTATATGTATATGGCCTGCATTCACCCGGGGATGCCGATATCCAAACGGAAATCCTAAGCAATCTTGAAAGTGTCCCGGCACTACCTTGCAAGAAGTAACTCGTAACTGCCGGAGATTAGTGAATTTGAAACACAATAGTTCGATGATATAGAACGGTATCCGGTTTTATCACTTCCGACATGACACTTATAATCAGAAGAATGTAGAAGATTGAGAGATCGCTTCCAATTATCCCTAACACCGGTTAGCATACACAGCACGTGGCGCAACCATCTCAGTCGATGAAGATTCACAACCTCATCAACTGATTTGCTATCATTCCCTAATACCATGCGTCTAACCTCACTATTACTTACCCGGTGATCCCAGCAGATACCAGCGATATTCTAAGGCATCTGTGGTCAAATACTAGTAAATTACAAGTATCTTCTACTCTTAAAGGTCGTGTTTCGCAGCCGTATAGTAGAACGGAACGAACTGCCGCTCAGTATACTCGTCCCTTAATTGATAGACGGATATCTCGTCTTCGCCATAGGTGACGTAAGTTGGCAAAGGCCAAACGAGCTCTTCGAATCCGTGCTGAGATTTCGTCAGACACCAACCCATTAGGGCTGATCAGACTTCCAAGATAAGTGAGGTTGTTAACGCGTTCGACTACTTCACTCCCTATCCTTAGTTCAGATGTTGACGCAGACCAGTCCTGAAGCAACAACTTGCATTTAGAGGGAGAGAAGCGCATCCCAAACATTCTGGCATTGTTGCTCAGTGCTACCAGGAAACTCTGCATTTCATCAGCGTCTTCACCAAACAGGACTATGTCATCTGCGTATTCCAAGTCAATAAGTGGACCTCCTTGTAGGAGATCAATGCCCGAGAATTCAGTCGATGAGAGCGTTATTTCCATCAGTAGATCTATGATGAAGTTAAACAAAAATGGAGAAAGTGGACAGCCTTGACGGACCCCACTTGAGGTTGTGAAAGCAGATGACAGTTCGCCATAAGCTCTCACTCGACTAGTAGTGTTCGAGTAAAGAGCCTTCACAAGGTTTATGTACTTCTGAGGTACGCCTTTCAATGACAGACACTGCCACAGAACCTCTCGGTCAACAGAGTCAAACGCTGCTTTTAAGTCAAGGAAGACCACTATTGTCGGACGCCCATAAGTATGCCTGTGTTCTAGAACCTGGCTAAATGAAGTTCTAGGATCTCATCAATATCGCTTACACCTACCTGAAGATCTTCTTGTCAGGCTGAATGGAGTTGGATTTGTCGGAAGCGTATTTACAAATTCCGGTTGATGACGTGTAAAGACCTGACACATTTGAAGTAGCATTACTGAAAGGAGACGAGGGGACAAGTTAAGCAATTACAAAATTCTTGACAGCTCATAGAGCTACGCTTAACTCTACTGTCGCAGATTTAAAGTCCCCTGCTGAAGCTATGTTTGAAAGAAGTATTCGAACTACATTTGACGCCATGTTGCCACCTAAACCAATAGATAGACGCAGACAAAATCAGAATATCCGAAGTTTTAACGTGTGTGATAAAGTGGTCATCAAATCATACCTTGGAAAAAGTCGGTGGGAACCTGGAGTCATTGAGAAGATAATAGGAAGTTTTGCATAAAGTACGTGGGACATTTGTAATACAAATAAGACACACTAACCAAATCCAGAGAAAAAAGCACGCTTAAAACAGTAGACAGACAGGTGAATTTTCCAGTGAAGATAGTTACAGATACTCTAATAAAAGGAACGTTCTGGGATACTCATAGTCGCTAGACACTAAGACAGTCGGAAGGCAGTCATCAAGCTGCAAACAGATCCGAAGAAAAAAGCTTATTAGAAATTAAATATTATTTTATGTGAATTAAGTCTATACATTCTTTAGTGTTTAAAACTAAACGAATAAAATCTTGTACCGGATCGATCATCTAATGACATCAATCTCAAAGTAAATAATGTAAAGTCAATAAGATAGTTTAGAATTTATTATGATTATTGAAAAAAGAACCAATACATAACATGAGATTAAAAAAATCATTGCGCAAACACACCCAATGTACATTATACCCTAATTTTCTATTAAACAAGTTAACTGATGATGACTGTAAAAAGAAAGCAAAGTAACATATCAGAGAATAAACAATTAACTTCAACAAGAAATGAAGAAATAAGACTTTAAACTTTGAAATTAACTGGTCACTTATCTTACAGAACAAAAAAATCTATACATAATAGAATAATGTACACATTGTAAAATTATTTCTACAATACAATAATAGTAATAATATAAATTTATCTTGAGACAAGGTATGTATTGATGCAATTATACCAACAGTCACAATAAACAATCTATACAGAGAAAAAAATGAGCTAGAATTTTTAAAAAAAAATTATTTACGTTTAGAACTGAATCTGTACTTCGTAAAGATTTGTAGAATTAAACAGAGTAAAACCATTGAACAAAATTAGTCGATATGACTAGGTTAGCAAATAAAGAGAGAAATATTTACAACACATTACTATGCATTTAACTGTAAAGTTTAATAATAATAATAATAATAATAATAATAATAATAAAGTATTAACAGTAATGGAAGAAAACAAGATCGAAGAGAAATAACGAGATCCGATGAAAATAAATTGCAGTTGATGATCGACAGTTGTGTACTTACTGTACAAAGTAACTAGAAAGATAACAGTTCACATTCAGAAATGAGTGGGAAACTTGATTATAGTCCTACTACACTACAACAGAATGGATAGACGTTGATTTACAAGGGAAATTTCAATGGATTGAATAACGCAAAAAAACTAAATTCCATAGTTAGTTAGTTCAAATGCAAATACATGAGTGGTGTAAATATAACTACCGGATTATTAGAGTATATCATTAATAGTATCACAGTAAACAGGAAATGGGACCTAAAAGGTCTTCCTACCGGAAATAAATGAATCAGAAGTGAAAGTAAATAGACTAGGAGGTACGATTAAATCTGGGCAATGAATATCACTTTGTTTTTTAATCGAACTGAAATGATCGACTGAAACACAGTGTTTAGATTTGATATTATTTTGTAAGTAGTGTTTGGGATAACGTACAGAGGTTAGATTGATCAAAGAACGAGTGGGTCGCAAGCGATTAATATTCCGTGCTTGAATGGGATTTCGAGGTACACTAGTAACATTAAACATATGAAATTCGTTCCTGGGAACAATAAAAAACTGCTTGTCTGAATTTTTATCCTCAGATATCAACATATGTGATCTATCGGGTTCCTCGATATTCATAATCGAATCGGCATCTAAAGATAACCTGTTAAAAGTAAGAAATATGAATGTACTCAGAAATAAACAGAATCCTCAAAATTAAGAAAATGCATTGTAAGTGTATAAAAAGAATCGTGGAAAATGATTTAAAAAATCAGATCTATAGATATAAGACAGAAAGTCGAATCAAAATAATATTTAGTGTAAACACAGACGTTGAGTCATAAAAAAGATCTCAACGGATTTAATAACGCATAAAAAGAGTCTATGATTATTTTGTTCAATTACAAGTAAATGAGTGGTATAAATACAGCTATTTGGTAAACAAGGCAGTTTTGTTGCTAATAGCTTGCTTACTACCTATATTTAGTCACGTCAGTCCAAATTTGGACGAAAATGATGTAAAGAACACATCAGACGATTATTAAACGAACGACGAACACTTAAAATATAACATGCAGCTAGTGATTATATGAATACAACTCCGGATAATCTTATGGTGAACGCTGGGAAAAACGCTCAGGAAATTCATGGAATGTTTTAGTTTGTTGATAGATATAACACGGATTAATTTCTCAATTGCGCACTGAGCTGGAAAATGATTGCAGCCTCCATGAATTCTCGATAAACCGTACTTTAAACGAAACAGCAGTCATTTAAGAACCACCCAGTGGTCCAATACTCTCCATTTCAGAAACATGCCCGGTAATGGATCCAAACTCCATTATCTCCGAAACAGCATGTGTAGACAGTGGCTTGTCCAGCTGACAAAAAGATTCCCTGTTAAATGTTCATGAGATTGTCACAGTACCTACCCATGAAGAAACGGAAAACAAATCGAGCAATACACTGAATGCAGCTGCTTGAAATGGATCTTATCATTCTGCGACAGAAGTTTCTGACGAATATAATTATCGAGATTCTCTTTTACCAGAAAATATGTCAAATGCATCAAATGATGATCAGAAACCTAATACAATTTTGATAGATGCTGATTACCTTAATGATCCATTATCTACAAATGAGGTTCCCTAATAAGTTTGGTCACAATATTTCAGAAGAATCAAACTTCGATTACCTCATATTAAGTGTCGTTCAGCCTCACCACTTAGTTACTTCCAGTCGATTCTCTGTTCAGTGCGACATATATGTTTTAAATAAATCCAAATTAGTTGTAACTTGGGAATATGAGGATCCAACACTGTTTCATGGGGGAGGATGAACCCGGAAAATTTAAAATCCGGATATCAACTCTGGATCTTCAAAAAAAGGTGTGTTAGGTCCCGATAAGCCTAATGAATGGTAACTTTAGGATCCATTTATGGACCAGTACTATACGTATATTTTGTCGTATAATTGTTAATTAACTAAACTATTCATATTCATGTCTCTCTTATCATAAGCTTTATTTTAACCTATGAACTGTTATTCTTGAATTATTCCCTGTTTATTAATCACCACCTCCCTCATTCACAGCCACTTTTGGCCAGATTTTGTACAAATGTTATTTTCTATTTTATGATACGTTGTGGTCTGTTTGATTAATATATAAACCCCGTATGGAGTTCTGGACTTAATTGGCTGGGCTAAGCGGAAAGCAGAGCCAATCAGGACTCTAGGCTGCTCGTACGTTTTTACACGTCATTGATCCGATCGATAAGTCACTGCTCCCTGATTAGCGGTATCATTACTTATCCATTATCAGAGCACTCAGGCCACAAGTTATAACAGATACCCATTATGTCCTACTTGGAACTTGTAATCTGAATGTGATTGCACCACAACGGGACTCGAATCCAGTACATTTCGCTTAACATCAACAACGAAAAGCAGATAATTGTTTTTTATGGAAATAGCAGCTTTCTTACAAAAGACTAAACTTTTCCTTAATACGTATGATTGATTCAAAAACAAATTGATTGTTATTGTAACATATCAATAAATGATACTATGCTTGTAGAGTTAGTGTTCAATGTAGATGTAATGAATAGTTAGTCTTAACCTATTGAATTTCATGAATAACATTAAATGTAACTACACAGTTAAACTTACTTAAGTTGATTATCAGATAATAAATTATCAAATTCATCTAGAATATTCGATGTTGCATTGTTTATAAGTGTGGTATTTGAACGCTTCTGTTTTCTAACATGTAAAGTATTTCCAGTTGAATATGTATACTGATCAGTTATTAGTTCAGGAGATTTGATAATTAATTGACTACTTTCATCAATTGACTGATAACTAGGAGTGGTGGAAATAGGACTTGTTGAAAGATTGAATAAAACATTAGATGTATTAATAGTATTAGGAATAGATGTAACAAATGATGTAGTATAATTATCAAACACTGGAGGTAGACTAGATGATTCTCCAGATTTAGACATAATATTTAGTTCTTTGCTTTCATCTGTCACTACTGAAGGAAATAAGGTTTGTCTGTCAGAAAACATTGGAAGTTGATAAAATTCAATCAACTTTGAACGAACTGAACTATCTGTACACGGATGAGAAGCATAGTTATCAGACCAATCAAAAATTGTGTGATGATTGGACAGTGTATTATCACGTAGATTTGTTTGTTCACTAAGACGTTTTTCAGATCCATAATATTTATCACTATTACCATCAGGAAGATTTAGTGGCACTGGTGAAGGTGAACATGATGATATTGGGACAGCTACAGTTGAAGCACTACGTATTGTACGAAAACCACCAACACTATCGATTGCAGCAAGACCAGTCATTGCAGATTCTGATATTATACAAGTGTCTACAGTTGGTTGAAACTGATGAGAAAAAGTGCAAATATGAAATAAAAATGTCTACGTCAATTTTATTCATTTCACTGAATGGAGAAAAAACAAACAAATATCGACAAGAATAAACAATTTGTATGTTTGATGAACTTCTTACTGTTACAACTAGGGTAAACCGATTTTTGAAACAGGAAGACATCGAGATTCATGAAGTGACATATCATTACGTTGTCTTGACGAGTATTAACGGAGTCATTCATTTACCGTAATTAAAGATATAATATGGAACTCAGATGAATATTATCAAGACAGATAAAATTCTTACTCTTGACAAAATTCGATCTTGGTATTTATCTGTATAATCTCATCTCTCTCTGCTGGTATTGTGTGATAACCTGAATCGATACAACTGTGTCAGGTATTATGTTTTTTATGACTAATCACTCATGAAAAAAAACCGTTTTATGACTTACTGAAGAAACTATTTTTCTCTTCAACATTAAGTGAAGAATACAGAAACACAATGATACATTTGCTTAAGTAAGATTTTTAAAAATATGAAAGTAAAATTCAGTCGCACACCCTCATTACTTGGATAACTAGGGGGCAATAGACAGTTTATCAGCAGTATGAAAGCTCAGTCTTTATGTCTTGGAATGAGTATGAAAAGATTTAGTCACCGGAATGTTCTAACTTATGATCAGAAAACTAGTTTGCGCTCTCTATTTCGTTTTGCATGATTTTTAAGGCGGTCATTTTAGACTGTAATGCAAAGTTGTTTTTGTAAATTAGGCGAAATATCTTAGACAATCTACACACCATACTAATGCAACTAAAATAATTATCCAAATATAAAACTGATAATCTGAAAACTAATGTTATTCACATACAGGTAATGAATCGATTGTTGTATTTGGTTTCGGTGGATCATCAGTAAGGAATGGTCGAATACAATCTGGATACGCTATTAATACTTCTAGCACTTGATTCATTGATGATGGTCTGTGTTGCCATTGATGTTTACAACAATGATTAATTAATTCACATCTTAAAAGAAAAATAATTATAATGCATAAAGTTATAAGGCTATTAGAGGAAGATTAAAACAAACAAACAAAATTGAAGTAGATAGATATTTGAAGAAAAAAAATACACACAACAGTATAAACAGGAGAATTAGATTAAACAATAAATTATACGGGACAGAGTAGTGGTGATAGAGAATAGGTAACACGATATAGCGACCAGCACAACTTGATATCTTTCTGATAAATAGATAAATTGACCCTATATTTGAATTGCTAATAAACAAAATACACATACATAAGATTTAACTATAATAAAAATATGAATACACATACACTACGGTATTTAATGCTTGAGGTGGTAAAAATTCAGTAATACTGAATTCCATACGTTTGACACGTTCCACAACTTCTACATCTCCAAGACCATTATAAGGAAATACACCAAAAGTAATAATTTCATATAATGTTATGCCAAATGACCAAATGTCTGATTGTATACTAAAAACACCAAATTGTACAGCTTCAGGTGACATCCAACGAATAGGTAGTTCACCTAAAATTAACAGTACAGTAATAATAATCATTTTTACGCAGTAAAAACTTGGAACATGAAATTGACATAATGAATAGTTTGTACAAAAGGTATCACAGTATATATCATAAATTAACAAATGGATATGATTCCAGGTTTTGAAAAATTAAGATAGAATAAAGGTTATGTAAGAAAAGTTGTATTTCTGACCAATAGAGCATGAATATAAAATAAAATTCGACACTTATTATATTATAGAGATGATAAGAGATATTATCAGATATATATTCAGATGTAAATTTTTCAACCAAACTATAAGTGATAGCTGTTGAATGACTGAAAGAGATATGATTGCTATCTAGAATAGGGATGACAATGTTTGACCTGGACATACAATTTACAAAGAATTTTCAATTAGAGAGTCAGTCAGTTATTCATAATAAACATAGAGTATGACACAAATATGGGTCATCACTACAAGATCAAATTAACATGAGGAATAGTAAAACAGTTGAAATAAGCGTAGTTGTTGTGATGAAGATTGAACGTCAAAAAATATGGTTAGAGATGCCAAATCCCCGAAATCAAATGTATTCTGGGAAGATCAATCTTAGAATTTGTAAATCGATCCAAGGTGATATTTGTGAAGTTAACTATCACTTCATTTTGAATTTTTTTAATTATTCAGAATGAAGCTAGCCAGTTGATTTAAAGGTGTTTTCATAGTATTTATAACTTCAGGGTAATTTGTGCAAAATGATAATTACTCAGTTTGACAAATTTTTTGTCATTAGTAATCTTTTAATTAATCGATATATACTTGAATAAACTTGAATGTAATTCATTTCTTCCAGGGTCTTTATCAAGAAAAGCCCCTGTACAATTTTCGATGTCTTACTTAGCTGGCCTGTAGGACTGAACCAGTCTCATTCATCTTATTGGAGTTGTAGTTGTCAATATTTACCGAAGTATACAAACGTATCAATATTACTAGGCGTACAATCCCACTTTAAATATTAAAAACACCAAGTTCAGTGAACGGATCTCTTTTCGACGAACGTATTATGAAGCTGTACAGTCGTATACTAGATATTCGAATTGGAATGAGAATAATGAAATAACACTGAAACAAAAGATGCATTTTAAGTAGAAGGAATACTAACACGTACTATATCAAATATAACTTACAATTTCTTGTGAAACGATAATAAACCTCTGAAGTATTTTTAGCAGCTTGTCTGGTCAGACCAAAATCTCCGATTTTCACAGTACGATCTGCAGCAACAAGACAATTTCGGCATGCTATATCTCGATGAATTAAATGCTTACTATGAAGGTAGGCTAAACCTTGGCCAATATCCATACTCATTTGAGTGAGAGTTGATGGTCGTATGTCTTCATGGTTTGGTGATCTATAAGAGAGTGGAAACCAAGAATATATAATTCAACATAAAATAAACAAACAAGGACATAAAAACAGTCAGTCAACAAGTTATTTACATACTTGATAAGATCATGAAGTTAACGTACCACAAATTTCCATCGATGTAAAGATAAACTTTTCACCATTTCGGAGAAATAGGTGAGAGATGTTCAAAAATTTAACAAATAGGTTTTCAGCTATATTATTACTACGACTAGTTGGAATGTTCGAATCTGAATCGAAGGTATACATTCAAGAGAAAACGGTCGGAAACAACGATACAGAAATAAAGAAAAGTTTCATATCCCTGATGACTTTCAGTCTGAAATCGGTATAACATGGTTTTAGATAATAATATGATGCTAACACCTACAGACATTACCAGTAATTTCTAATCAATTATTTTCATGATTAAGATAAATCTGTGCAGATCACACAAACAATACAAAGCTAGGAAAACGGAATAAAATATCACCTATATGGCCCGGCAAAAAAGTAACTAAAACCATATGATGAACTGTTTTCAGTAGTCACAGAAAGACTTTCATGAAGGATGCTGAAGTAACCAAACATCAACTGCTTAGACGTTCGAACTCCAACTTCAGACTACATATGTTACTGGAATACAAAGTCGATGGATACACAAAACGAACAATTTCAAACCAAGTTTCTACGAATATTGTTATCTGAATTTGTAGATCTGCTAAGAGATCAGATTACCTAGCTTGTTGTTATTACATGTAAGTCGTTTATTGAAAGAATAACCTTGATGACATATTCGCGATAGCCTTTGTTATTAGCTAATTGGTTATGTGCACCAATGTTATAGTGTGTTGCCACAAAAGAAAAGTTGTTCGTTTTCAATTTTTAACTTTTGTACGGAATGTAAAGCCATTAATCACTATTGTCGACATTGAACAAGATCAATTAACAGGTCAATACTTGAACAGATAATGAAATCCAGTTACATGATTCCGTTAAAAAAATTTTACGTTAACATGGTTTAAAACCTTTCTATTCACTTGGATACTTTAATATTAGTTCTCACTATGTTAACACCTTTTTGTATCATTCATTGTCGTTTGTACATATGTTAATTTACAACTTATATTTCACTTTTTTCATCTGTAAAGCAATCCTTGGTAAATTTATCAGTATATTTAGTGTTTCGCCATCTTGCAGTCTGTATACTTTAAAGTGTATTGAGCATTGACGATTAAAGAATCCTGATAACAGACAATTATTTTAGTGATAAAATTAAAGTTATTGAAAACGACATTTGTCTTTTCTTTAACTTCATGGGTACTTTATCTTTCTATCGTATCTTAAGACTATGTTGAACGTCAAAATGGAAGTCAAATCTTAGTTGTGTAACTAATGATCAGACATCTAAAATGAATTGTCGGATTAAGAGAATATACATATAAGGAATGGTTTCTAGTTCACTAATTATTTTCAAGATAATTCACACTAAATACGTTGTTAAGTCTATTTGGAACATTTTCTATTACAGATTTTGTCAAGCACAAAACTGTAGTGAATCCAACTTAACACGAAATGTAGATCCATGATTTCTGAAAAGATACCATTCTATCGAACATGAGACAATGAAACTAGAAACATGATCGTTTACCTTTGAGCTAAAATTCGACGGGATAGTAAATATGTTTTTAAATCTCCAAGAAGCATGAGTTCCATAATCAGGTAGAGACTTGCTTTTGGATTCAAGGAAATACCAATTAAACGAACAACGTTTGGATGATTTAAAGAACGCATTAATTTTGCTTCAGAAAGAAAATCAATTTTCCCTTCATATGTCGCTTTCTCGTTAATTACTTTCACAGCAACTGCTTCCCATAAATCACTTTTTTTAGCTTCACCACCGAATACTAAACCGAAAGCACCTTGACCAACTCGACGATTTAAAACAATATTTTCGGCCGGCATCTATATAATGGCATTGAAAAATGAAAGACGGAAAGGATGAAATTGCAAACACTGTTATAATTTTGACTACTAATAATACTACATCAACTCGTACTGTGGTGCGCGCTACTTATACTGATATAAGTAGTATATGACGCGAGTTAAAAACGTAATGTCTGGCAGCAGAAGATGGGGGAAGATCAAGAAAGGAAGAACGGGAACACAATGGAATTTGTATGAAAACGCATGAACAATAAAATGTGAGACAATGGATTAATGTTTGCAACAGGAACAGTCCAGTTTGATATGATGAATTGATATTTTACAAATTAACGATTTACTATATGGTTTTTCTATTTTACCAATTAACTCTGTAATTTTAAGCCAAACATACTCGGTTGTCCTCACCAGTGTTCTCCTTCCCTACAGTGTTACGCCTGTTTCTCTTGATAAATAAAGGGAATATTTATGTGTACGCGACGTAAAGTAGGAAATCATGCTCATAAAAAACAGAAATTGGAAAAATGACTAACCTACAAGAAGGTCTAAAACACAAATTGTATATATTTATACAATATATATCAGAATTCGAACATTCAAATAATCAGATGTGGAATATGTCTAACAGGCCGAAGTTTTATACATTTATAACATTATTATAAGACATTAACAAACGAACTAGTAATTAATAAACAACCCCTGAAAAACAATGAAAATAACTTGCTGAGAACAAACAACTAATGGCTTGTTCTAGATCACTAAGTATTAGACTCTCTGTGTTAATTTTGATTGCGAACAGTTGGCAAGGCCAGCAGGACAGCTGCAAACATTGGCTGATCACTGAATAATGGGCATTCTCATATTTGTCTGGTCCTTACTGCTAATCATATTCTATTAATAATATGGCACTGTGATCGTTAATCTCGATGACTTGAGATCAGATGAACGATTTTGTGTTAGGTGGCCAGCAGGGAACTCTGAACCTACGTTTTGTGCTAGTTGGCACTCGTCAGCAAGGTAGATCTACGATCTTTAGGGAACTCATTCACCCTGATGGATTTGGACTCGGATCACCTAGGTTCAGTATTTCCTGCCGACTGCTTTCGATCGTCTAGGATTGAAATATAGTACACGAGATGTAGAGTCTATCAAGATAACAAATACAAAACTCAGATGTTAGTTATAGATTTCATTTAAAGTATTTAATTTATTGATGTTGCAACTTATACATATGAACACGGAATTATTGATTAATTTATATCAACTGTTACCAGTTTGATGTATTCGGATTAATCTATTGACCGGATATTTTACGACTCATCTCAATTTTTGATCAGTTGTATGTTCGTGGTTGGTGCATACTAAACATGTCATTCGCAATCTTACTTTTCTTCCTTAAGTTGAGCAATAACAGTCTTTGCTCTGTTATATAGTAGGAAGTAAACAGTTGTATCTGAAGTCAAAACAAGTAGTAATACAAGTATTTTGCAAGTTGAAATTATTGGACTAGCAGTCACAATGCAACATTGCCGATAGAGTATGGTCAACACAGGAATAGACACACGCGACGTCGGTTGCTACTCAGTGACCAATCAACAAAGATGTTTTAGTGGTCCGGGATCTGACTCCAGTTAGATTGTACAAATGATCGTTATTGAATGATTGCTGTCGAAATATACATCCTGACAATTCTCGTAAATAATCATCGACTTGATCCGCGTGAATAACGTAATTAAATAAGTCAAATACGAGGAAGGATGTTTGGATATGTATATTTTGTACTTTCACTGATCTGGACGGGAAATCAGAGGGATGAAGCGAATAGAAGAGAACGAAGTAAAATGACGAGCGGTGGAGGCGTGTGAGCCAACTCCACTTAATCAATATTTATAATCACACAAAAATAAGTTACAGACGTGTGAGGAATAGGATAAGAAGTGCACGCACATACACTCATATAAAAACAGTCAAGGTTGATAAATCAATAATTAGCAAAGTGAAAACGTGACTCAAAAAGAAAGGATAAATTGGCATGTACATAAGCTAGAACAAGGTATGTCATAGTCCTATTGGAAGTCAGTTGTGACTCGAACAGTAAGACAGTAACCTCTCAAACTGTGGACATGGGTGGCAACGGTTCAGATCCACCAGGGAAAGTGAGCTTCGAATAGGCTGAAGGTATGCTTCGCTGACGAGTGTCAACTAACATGAGACGTGGGTCCAGGATTTTTTGACGACTACCTCCAAACATATAACGTCATTGAATGTATTTAAATAGCATTACTTTGACAATAGTTTAATTGTAACCGAAATGAAACTACGAAATAACCCAAACGGGAAATATCTTATCATTATACTAAAAAAGGAACAATCCGAAATATATCTAGTCTTAGGAAGACAGTTGATAGCAAAAAAAACAGATAAATCTACAAAAGCCCATTACTTACATCTAAATCAGCCAATTCTGTGCATAGTTCTTCAAAAGGTTTACGAGTTCGATTTTCAATTTCTTTCAATTTACGTCGATAATAAAAATGAGCAAATATAATCAGTGGCAATAAAACTAAAACGGTAACAGTAACAGTGACAAATACAGTAGCACCTGTACAACCCATATGTAATTGATTACTAAGAAATGATAATGTACAATTTTTTTCATTGACAGAACCATCGTTTGGTGGACCACCTAATGTATGCCAATTAACATGGTCTAACCAACGTTCAGTCATCCGTTTTTGAAATTCATCGTAAAGAAATGGAGCATTGGTTGTTTTCCAATCATACTTGTTTGACATATTGTTTGATGAAATCATATGATTGAACGGGTCATATGATTGTTGTTGATCTTGCTCATGTACTTCTTCATAGTTTTTTGTTGACCACATTATAATCGGTACAGTAGTATTTAAATGTCTTTGTTTTAACAGCCAATAATCAGCAATACGTTCATTATGATCATTAAATCGCAAATTTGATGCTGAAGCAGGACTTTGACTACGTATACCATAATAGTCACCAGCAAGTTGAAATCCAGCATCTACACCAAAATTATCATCATTTATACCAGGAACAAGTTCATTTATTTCACTAGATTGTCCAGTTGTTGAATTATCTGTCTGAAATCGATAACCGAAATTCGTTCGTGCGACAAGTGTTCGAAGAGTTTCAGATACATCTGGATGATTAAGAGCAGATGCTGCAGCAGGATTTTCTCGTAAAAGATGAACAACAGCACTTGCTAGTAGGATAACAGCATCATAAGTATACACAGTGTAATCATGAAGAGGATCTTTGATTAATTTACGTTTTGAGTGATCACTGAATGTAGATTTCCCAAAATCATTTGGATTAGGATTATGTTTAGTTCTTGATAAGACAGGTGGTGCTTCTAACGTTTGTGACTCAACGAAAACATGGCGCCTGCGTCGTATTTGCTCAGATGAAGTTCGATTCGTAGTACCACTTGAATTATTTCCAGACTTGGAGTCTGAATCCATAAACTCACTAGTACGAGGAATAAAACTGTGCACCATAGGACCAATTAGCAACTGGTGTCCAACAGTAAAAGTCCAAGAAGTAATATTGAGCATTTCACTAAAATTACACTCAGTATTTCGGCCAACCAATTCCGACCACCATTGATCAGAAAGCCATGGATTCAAAAACCAAACGTATCCAGCGGAAAAATACATCCCTTCATGATATGCTGCACAGAGTATCAAATAAGTACCACGTGCATCATACTCGACAACAAATATGCGACTGTTCTGTTGCTTTAATTCTTCTAAAGTCTGTAAGATGAACAAATCATAAGAATGACTCGATAAAACCAACGAAGAAAGAAAAGAGGAAGTAAATAAAATCTTAGAAAGTGGTTTTTCCCATGCAAGTATTATCAAATACAATACGTACATGAGTTTGCGTACAAATTAGTGCGACTTGTACTAGTTAGAAAGTATAGTAAACACAATGTGGGAGTCAAATACACTTCAAGTAACTTGTAACTGTACCAAAATTAGTCCACTCGTATTTTATATGGAGGTTTATATACCCAGCTTGGAGCTATACGGATTGATGGTTTAATAGTTCAGGAGTTTTAGTTTTAGTCACTAAGTCCCAAATTAAAATTCTGCTGCCCTTCAGTCAATCAGTCAGCTACAACATAGAACCAGGCACATATATGCATCGGTCCAAGTTGCCATACCGCATTAGCACACCAAGATGAACACCGGATTCATAGGAGTGGTTGAGTCAATGGTGGTAATATATAAAAGAAAGATTGCATATAAGGAGATAGTACAGGAATAAAGAATTAGTTCGTAGAAAGAAAGATATGAAGTGATTTTAATCTCTTAGTTTAAAGGAAGACAGAGAGTGTATACACCGACGCCATTGTGATCGAATCTGAGCCATGTCACCAAGTCTCCAACTGTTGGTTACGATAGTCACGCGGACCCCAACCAGGCAGTCTGCATCTACCAACATGGCTCAGACTAGAAGCTAGTGTCTTCAAACACTGATGCCACGTTTCGGTCTGGCCGCTCTTAACTTGCTTCCAATTATCCCTAACACCGGTTAGCATACACAGCACGTGGCGCAACCATCTCAGTCGATGAAGATTCACAACCTCATCAACTGATTTGCTATCATTCCCTAATACCATGCGTCTAACCTCACTATTACTTACCCGGTGATTCCAGCAGATACCAGCGATATTCTAAGGCATCTGTGGTCAAATACTAGTAAATTACAAGTATCTTCTACTCTTAAAGGTCGTGTTTCGCAGCCGTATAGTAGAACGGAACGAACTGCCGCTCAGTATACTCGTCCCTTAATTGATAGACGGATATCTCGTCTTCGCCATAGGTGACGTAAGTTGGCAAAGGCCAAACGAGCTCTTCGAATCCGTGCTGAGATTTCGTCAGACACCAACCCATTAGGGCTGATCAGACTTCCAAGATAAGTGAGGTTGTTAACGCGTTCGACTACTTCACTCCCTATCCTTAGTTCAGATGTTGACGCAGACCAGTCCTGAAGCAACAACTTGCATTTAGAGGGAGAGAAGCGCATCCCAAACATTCTGGCATTGTTGCTCAGTGCTACCAGGAAACTCTGCATTTTATCAGCGTCTTCACCAAACAGGACTATGTCGATAAGTGGGCCTCCTGGTAGGAGATCAATGCCTGAGAATTCAGTCGATGAGAGCGTTATTTCCATCAGTAGATCTATGATGAAGTTAAACAAAAATGGAGAAAGTGGACAGCCTTGGCGGACGCCACTTGAGGTTGCGAAATCAGATGACAGTTCGCCATAAGCTGACTCGACTAGTAGTGTTCGAGTAAAGAGCCTTCACAAGGTTTATGTACTTCTGAGGTACGCCTTTCAATGACAGACATTGCCACAGAACCTCTCGGTCCACAGAGTCAAATGCTGCTTTCAAGTCAAGGAAAACCACCATTGTCGGACGCCGACAAGTATGCCTGTGTTCTAGGACCTGACGAATGGTGAATATGAGGTCGATGCATCCACGACCAGGTCTGAAGCCAGCTTGATTCTCTCATGTCTGCTCCCCTTACTTCAGTTTACGTAACTGAGTAGCACCATTATCTTTTATATGGCTCACACCCAAGTACCTATTAGATGAGTTACAACCATACGCAGGACGACGCACAGAAAATTCATACTCACATCTTTTGCCAGTTTATACGTTAATTGTTGTTCATCCATTTCAATATTGGCAATAATTTCGATCCCCTTTGCTTGAAATAATAAAGGTTCAAAAAAATGATCCGATTTACGAAATACAACTATTCGATGCCAACCCCATACTAGAAATAATCGAAGTAGTATAAAACTGAAAAATAAGCAAACAAAATGAATGACAAAATCATTTTATTGAAGCAAGTATTATTGAGTACTAAATTTAAGTCTAAGTTTTTTATATTAAGAAGCTACAGTTTAATGGTTGAATTTCAAGAGATATACACACACTTCACATCACAGAAGATATAGCACTTCAATATTTGAAACTCTAGTTGTGTATACAAAAATAATTTATTAAATCGTTCTGGTTACGATGTTTGGAATATTTAACTTTCACTTCTACAAAAATATTTCTATTTAGTTGTATTTCATGACTATTAACATTATAATGCAGGGCTTTTCCTACTCAGAATTTCTTATTAGTATCTACACATCTCTTTCATTTCGATTTAACAACAATCATAATAATTCGACGCTTGTCCTAATGATTAAATATTTCACACTGTACATAAATCCCGACTTTGAATGACATGGTTTAAAATCGTTTGCAATGGCACAGGTGCATCCACTCTTTGTGTTCTCCTAAATTCTAATCTTCTGAATCCTTCATGTCTCTTTTTTTCTCTTTCCAAATTTATTTCACTGGATTATACTCCTTGAACAACATCTTCAAACCCTAATTTTTTCGATTACTGCTTATATTTTTACTATATCTACCACTACGGGATTTGAATAGACAATTGTATCTCTGTGTTAATGTGGTATGGCAACTCGAACTGATGTACCTATGTATGAAGTCTAAGTTGTTGCTGATTGACCCTCTTTAGTACTTAATTCATTACTTGTTTGAATTTATGTGGGGGGATATTGAATTACATTACAACTCATCAAATTCTAACAAGTAATATACATCGACCTATAATTTATCATTTACAATTGTACAGTTTTGCAAAATGCACTTGCTGAAAAGGAAACCTACATTAACTTCATTATTTTAAAATAGATTGATGGAAATTTCAATAATTAATTTAAGAGTAAAACAGAAAAATAGTATATTTAAGATTCATATTGTGCCAACATAGAGTTTGGACATTCAAAGCAGCTGTAACACTATACTTACAAGTTTAAAAGTGATTAGTGATGAATGAACTGAAACAAAAAAAAAACACTGGCATTTTATTAATTGAGAAATTCTTGCCAGGATTCCAAACAGTAATCTGAATTATAAATTACTGACAATAAAAATGTTTCATTACAAATTATTAATTAATATTTTAATTAAAAGTACATGAAAATTAGACTTTTTATTAGTAATCATACTTGAATATGATTGACTTTCAAGTCAGAAGACAATTCATTTCGTTAGTTTGACAGTCATAAATCATTAAGTTATACTTGTTTAATAAAACAATATATGACTTTTAAGCACAAAAGTAATATTTGAGTAAATATTTAGAATTTAAGCTTTATATAAACGCTATGATCACTTACTTAGCCAAAGTCATTGATGGTACTGTACGGAAGAAGTAATGATATTGTTGTTGTTCCAGAAAACGTGCACTACCTACTGTTGGACTAACAATAATCTGCTTGCGAATATTTGCTAATTCAACTACAGCTTCAATAGAGTCTGAACATAGAGCAGCTAATAAGAAAACAAAATAATGTTGATAAAATTCAGAATAAAAAGAAAAAAGTCAAACAGGGAATGGGATTGGTTGTGTAGCAGGTGGGAGTTCATATAATTACTGTGAAAGAGATGGGATCGACTACTAGTTAAGTGCTCTTGGTGATAGGAAAAAAGGAAAAGAACTGTTGAAATAAAGAAGAGAAAACTGAGTTGTTTCATAAAGTATATCTACTATTTCCTGATATAGAGGAAAAATAATATTGGTTAATAACACTAGATAAACAGATCGTTAAGTGTACCCGTTAAGTAGTGGGTCTACACATATACCTCGTATCATACTAAATTTGGTATCTTTTCAGGAGAAGAAATAACCGTTACATACTTTACGCTGAGGTTACGTGCAATTATTATTTTATTTTTCTACTTTAAGACATAGATATTGGTACAAGGAGACACCAAATACATATGCGCCACACAGACCTCATTTGATGAGTGTGAGGGCTGTGATACTGCCCAGGTGCCCAAACCGAAGCAGGTGGTTTTCTTAGGGGGCCACACCCTGAGCCTTCGACCTGAACAACTGACTCACAAGGCACTGGAGCATCGTAAGGAGATGCAGTCCCATGGTAGCCGGTGACCAACGATTGGTTCATACGCCATTTATTCCCTCAGGATACTGGAGCCCATGTGCACCATCGGTTCGGGATCCGGTTAAAGCGCCGGACATTCGCTTTTCGTTCTCTCATTTTCGTAAACAACGACCCGCCACGAGAAGGCAGTGAGTAGGACTTCCCTGGCAGAGGCTAATTACGCATGGCCATGTGAGAGCATTTCGAGGAGAGCGGACTCTCCCAACTCTCGGTCGTACCAGGGCATTTAGGGGCACGTGTAAGTATTCAACTATAGTATTTTTTAAAGAACACCAATAATTTAAAAAGGAACTAATAAATTCCAATAAACCTTTTATGAAATAAACTGAAAAAATCAGGTGTTGTCTACGTGCTTAATATTAACGAAAATACAACCATAAACGTTTGCAGAAGAAATTAGTTTAACTTGAGTCTTGAAGGTACGGCGTCGCATTTCCGATGAAGTTATAATTAGACTGATAACGCTTAGGGTTTGAACTGTAAGGTTTCATAGCCAAACAAGGAATATAAGCTTTACAGCTACAAATCTATTCAACAGTGAATATGAAACTGATGTCAGTCAGTTAGATGCAAGATGGGACCAGGCATATACATGCATCAGTCCAAGTTGCCATACCGCATTAGCACACCAAGATGAACACCGGATTCATAGGAGTGGTTGAGTCAATGGTGGTAATATATAAAAGAAAGATTGCATATAAGGAGATAGTACAGGAATAAAGAATTAGTTCGTAGAAAGAAAGATATGAAGTGATTTTAATCTCTTAGTTTAAAGGAAGACAGAGAGTGTATACACCGACGCCATTGTGATCGATTCTGAGCCATGTCACCAAGTCTCCAACTGTTGGTTACGATAGTCACGCGGACCCCAACCAGGCAGTCTGCATCTACCAACATGGCTCAGACTAGAAGCTAGTGTCTTCAAACACTGATGCCACGTTTCGGTCTGGCCGCTCCTAACTTGCTTCCAATTATCCCTAACACCGGTTAGCATACACAGCACGTGGCGCAACCATCTCAGTCGATGAAGATTCACAACCTCATCAACTGATTTGCTATCATTCCCTAATACCATGCGTCTAACCTCACTATTACTTACCCGGTGATCCCAGCAGATACCAGCGATATTCTAAGGCATCTGTGGTCAAATACTAGTAAATTACAAGTATCTTCTACTCTTAAAGGTCGTGTTTCGCAGCCGTATAGTAGAACGGAACGAACTGCCGCTCAGTATACTCGTCCCTTAATTGATAGACGGATATCTCGTCTTCGCCATAGGTGACGTAAGTTGGCAAAGGCCAAACGAGCTCTTCGAATCCGTGCTGAGATTTCGTCAGACACCAACCCATTAGGGCTGATCAGACTTCCAAGATAAGTGAGGTTGTTAACGCGTTCGACTACTTCACTCCCTATCCTTAGTTCAGATGTTGACGCAGACCAGTCCTGAAGCAACAACTTGCATTTAGAGGGAGAGAAGCGCATCCCAAACATTCTGGCATTGTTGCTCAGTGCTACCAGGAAACTCTGCATTTTATCAGCGTCTTCACCAAACAGGACTATGTCGATAAGTGGGCCTCCTGGTAGGAGATCAATGCCTGAGAATTCAGTCGATGAGAGCGTTATTTCCATCAGTAGATCTATGATGAAGTTAAACAAAAATGGAGAAAGTGGACAGCCTTGGCGGACGCCACTTGAGGTTGCGAAATCAGATGACAGTTCGCCATAAGCTGACTCGACTAGTAGTGTTCGAGTAAAGAGCCTTCACAAGGTTTATGTACTTCTGAGGTACGCCTTTCAATGACAGACATTGCCACAGAACCTCTCGGTCCACAGAGTCAAATGCTGCTTTCAAGTCAAGGAAAACCACCATTGTCGGACGCCGACAAGTATGCCTGTGTTCTAGGACCTGACGAATGGTGAATATGAGGTCGATGCATCCACGACCAGGTCTGAAGCCAGCTTGATTCTCTCATGTTTGTAGTTTACGAGTCTTGGTCAGCCGTCCGATAATTATCGAGGCTATTATTTTAGATACTATATTAGTTAAACTAATCCCTCTTTGGTTGTCACAGGATGATTTTGACCCTTTCTTATATATTGGGACGATAAGTGATTCTGACCATTTAGATGGGATAACGTCTAACTCTCAAATTTTAGCTAAAATATTAGTCAAGCTAATCACTAAAACTAGACCACCATTCTTAAAGACCTCTGGGGCCAATCCATCTGGACCAGCTACCCTTTTGAACTTCAGCTAGAGTTGTAGGACCTACTTTAATGTTCCATCCACACTGTCTGAGAATTGTTGGTAGTTGTAGAGTAGCTGAAGGCCAGCTGAACTGTTCCTTAAAGTGTTCCGCCCATCGTTCTAAACGTCTGGACTGGGAGCAGATGAGAGTGTCGTTTTTTTCCGAAATAGTCTGACTTACACTTGACTTTTTAATTCCAGTTTGTTTTATTAGTCTGTAGAGTTGTCTTGTGTTCCCTATAGCCGCCGCCTTTTCCATCTCTTTTGCTTTCGTTGCCCACCACTGCTCACGGTCGTTTCTTAGACTTTTGCTTAACCTAGATCTGATTTGTTTTCATTCTTTATCGTGTTCAGATCCTGATGGGATGAGTTTACGCGAATCCATCAGTGCAATAGATCTTGAAGAAATCCATTGGTTGTTTGTAACCCTGTGGTTTAAATCACTAATTGATGTCACTGCTGTTTCCACAGCTGATTGTATAATTTTCCAATCAACATCTGGATCAGCCTCGTTATCAGAACTACCTAAGTATGACCTCAGTTGTTCTTGGAACCTACTTTTGGTTTTCTCGTTACTCAGTTCAGTTCTAATGGGTCTTTTAATGTGGCTTTTTGCGTCCAGTGAGGCGCAAGCAAATGAGTGCTCGTATTAGTGCGTGGTCGGAGTTCAGACAGGTACTCCAGAATGAGCGACAATCTTCTATCGACCCTCTCCAACGATGACTGATGGCAATATGGTCTATTTGAGTCCATCGTTAGTTTGGTGCAGGGGGTCGCCATGTTAGACGATGTCTCTCCTTATGCTTAAAATTTGTGTTTGCTAAAAATAAACGATTGTATGAGCACAGTTGCAGCAGACGATCACCATCTGTTCGCTGTGCCGGAATACTAAAATACCCACCTAAATGTCTTTCTGTTTCGTTTAAGCTACCTACCTGGGCATTAAAGTCGCCTGCTACGAGTACTATATCTGAGCGTTTAGCTTTCTGAAGAAGTTCAGAGAGGTTTTTGTAAAATTCATCTTTCACTTCATCCGAGCTGCAGTCAGTGGGAGCGTAGGCAGAAACGACGAAAAGGTAACGACGTGTGTCCTTATCCTTTCGAGTTCTTACGGAGCTGTTTAGCCGAACAGCGCATAGACGACTGTTAACGGGGATCCACTCTAATAGCGCTTGTTCCGCCCTCATGCTTAGTGCTATACCTACACCTGCCAGTCCACGATAAATAGCCGTTGGGTTGCCAGATACACGGAGGGTGTTTTGCGCACAAGAATCGTTGGCTGTGGTGACACTTGAGGAGGAAGCCGAAAGAGAGAGTTTAGATTTAAAGTAGATGTAGGAGGAATAATAGGAATTGAAGAGGGAGGTTGATTATGAATACAGAGGTCTTGAGTGCTGTTAGAGGTATGAGGGCGGTTGTCACTTCCCGGTCGCCATACCGTGAAAGGGTTCTTCTGGAGGTGCCTGAAAAGAAAATTGGGTTAAAGGTGGTCATAGTGACCTGAGAGCGTGACTGCAGTGCCCAAGGGACAGCTGCTTGAGATCGGTCACACACGACATTTTTATGAGTAGTTTTTGTGCTAGCTCCGTACTTGTTGAGACCTTATCGCCGGAGACGGATATCCATGAGATAAGGCGAGGTGAACCCTTTTCTAACCCCTACCCTTCTTGTGGGAAGGCAGCATCGCTGTTATGCTGGTTGTCTGAAGGAAACACCTTACTGCTGTCACACCTCTATACAGTCAGCAGTACGACTTCGCCTTCGGACCTTGGGTTTGTTGCTTTTAGTCTTACCGCTTTTCAACCAACCGGTCTGGTATGGTAGGACCTTGAGGAACGTTTGTTCCAGCCAGTATAACTCGATTGTTTCATCACGATAGGCAAGCCCGACCACCACGTCAAGGTAGCAACAACGGTTGAGTAAAATCTACGATGACAAATTTTAAAAACCATTACAATTAACAACATTTTATTTAAGAAAGTCAAAAGTAACTTTTAAAAAATCGTAAAACGTTTATCAAATCCTACCGATAGAACCAATTAGATGAGTGTTGACAGCATTCTCCAACACTTTAAAATAATCACTTAACACGACGTCAGGTTCACATGTTAAGTTACGTACATCCAAACTTAATGCATATTCAGAATTGCGAAAATAATCTGAGTCGGCGTTGACAAAATTCATAGCTTCTTGAGCCACTGGATAGTTATGAAACGAAATTTTGAAAAATCAACATAAGCTTATTGGGAGAGAATACAAATAATATAAGCACAATGAAGCAACGAAACACCAAATGCTATTAAACGAATGTTATATAGCGACAATCTTTAATAGTAACGAAAAAAACTACATTCCTTTAAAATTCGAAACATTCTGGTTATTTATAAAATTACTGACAAACGGTGTCATGAAGAGAATCTAAACTTTTAAACAACCTATAAGCATTTAAAACATATGGTCATGTTTTTAGAAACTCTGTTTGTATGACAATATTTATGCAACAGAATAATTTATACTTATGAAAATAACTGACCTCGATCAAGACCATACAGCACCCATTTCCCATACATACTGAACAGGCCAGCCACTGTTAAGTTTAGCTTTTTGTCCCAATCAACTGTCCAACTTTTCCACTTAGTTGGATTCTGACGAAGCCACCGACATGCAACTTGTTTATATGTTGACTGACGATCTATTTGTGAGTCGAGTAAGGCCTAAATGACAAAAGTTAAGAATAATAGTCACAGTCAATAATTGTGCATTTAAAAGTTGGACAACTTCATTTTATTCACACATAAAAACACCAATCAATTGCTTATTTTACCCATGTCATATAAGTAAGAATTTTATTTCCAAAATATACTGCTCCATAGATGGCAATAACGTTAGTAGCTACTACTATTCCATCCTTTCTTTTGATGAAAATATTAGTAGAATATACAACTCATAAATAAACTATTTGTGATTGAACAGCGATATGACATACGACAGATACACTGTGTACACTGGGATAAGAATATTCATTACTGACATAAATGAAACTTGTGTTGTGTATGCTCAGTCAATGCAAGTAAGAGTTTATTGCTCTCCGAAGAAAAGATGGAGCCGATTTAGATAATAAATGATGTTGAAAAATATATGAACCTCATCTTTGGTTTAACAGATGATCACAATCAATAGGTGTAGATCAGCAATATCTTGGCTTAAAATCAATTGATTTTTGCATAAACACTTACTAAACCTCACGGTTGTTAAAGCTGAAAATCAAATAGCCCGAAATCCGCCTTTTATTTTATGCGATTTCGGAAGTATCTAAATTAAGAGACCTGAAAAAGCCAAGCTTGAGATGTAAAACTTGCAAAATTCAAGTGAACACAATAATAGAAACAAATTATTACGTGAATACATATTCACGAACCATTTTTAACAAGTTTGGAAAAACTTAAGGAAATTTTTATTAATACGAATGAAAAAAGCAGTTTATCTTAAGTCGAGTACATGAAATAAATACCGTCTAGAAAAGACCATACACATAGATCATAATAAACTCTCAGTGAAATTATTTATCATTAATTTGATAGTGATATGACGGGGTAGAATGATACAATAAAAAACTATAGATTGACAGCCAAAGTATGATTAATTCTGGCAAAATCTTACATTAGCTTTACGAATCATATCAGTGATTACGACCTAGTGATAATGATTGTGAAAATTGCTTGATAAAGGGAAATTTTTTATTTGATCACAAATTATGAAAGGGAAATAAAAATGGAATTTACGTGTTAACTTAAGGAAGAAATAAATTCCTCAGTAGGATTATTCGAATTAGGTGGCAGGATGAATTAAATCAGTGATATTACATAGTTATGACAAAATATGGCAACTCGATGAGTTATTTATTTGAACACGTAAATATTTGGTACAAAGGGGCACCGAATACACATTCACCACACAAGTTACTTGATTTGTGTGTGAACTGTGTTACTGCTCGGGTGCCCAGACCGAAGCAGGTGGTTTTTTGAGGGGCCCACACCCGGAGCCTTCGACCTAAACATCTAATCCACAAGGCAACGGAGCAACGTTAGATGTAGTCCCATGGTAGCCGGTGACCAGTAATTGGTTCATATGCCTTTGATTCTTTCAGGATCCCGGAGTTCATATGCACTATTGGTTTGGAATCAGGGTTTTTCAACTCCCCTAGGTGGATCCTCCATATCCAAAAACACGGTTAAAGCGATGGACGTTCGCTTTTCGTCCTCTCAATTTCACAAACAACACCCCAGACACGAGAAGGCAGTGAGTAGGACTTTCCTGGCAGTGGCTTTATACGCGTGGTCATGTGAGAGCACTTCGAGAGGGAGAGCTGACTTCTCCCACCCTCGGCCGTACCAGGGCACTTAGGGGTCCCAATAGTAAGAGAGAGCGCTTCGATAAGTATTATTTCATTGTTATGATATATATATATATTTTCTTTTTACTAACTTTTGAGGTGAAGAAACACCTCCCAATACTTTAAAGAGTTGATATCCATTTTAGCTAATTCTCACTACAGAGGAAACAGTTAATGTCTTGAAACTATTCAAGCTAAATAACTAGTTGGTAAATGAACAGTGTTTATTGAATTTTGTTGTAAAAATATTTCAATCACTAAATTTAATTGTTTATTTCTACAGTATTATGGTTATTGTATTATGTATTCAATAGAAGAAAGGTTGTTTAATTGTTTTCCTGAATCAATGGTAAATCTTTTGTTGTGATACACGAATGATATTGGATTTCTTTGCTGCTCAGAATATTTAATTTGATCGTTTTAAAAATTTCTTACCAACCTTTGTAATTTATCTTGATTAGATTCTTTACCGATATCGATTACGTTATAAATATACAGAGTACGTTAACCTTTCGATGAATACTTTCTTTGTCTACTTGACTGAAATATCTATGCATCATTAAGATACATTTTGACATAAGTTTAGGTTTATTTTAGTTTTTAAAAACCCAATGAAGAAAAAAATAAGACCTACTTATTTATACCATTCATTAATGTTCTTGGATTGCTCACTGTTACTCTAAATAATTAATACATGCTCTTTTTAGAAAATATGATTCAGAAAACCTAATATATTCGATTGTGATGCTTCTTACTTTCCTTAACAAAAGTTGGGATAAAAGTTGTAACTTATAACTTAATGGTTAGTATTCGACTAATTTAATCATTAAGTCACAACTACACTAACCCCTGTAAAGGAAGTCAATCAATTAAATTTTCAATGGTCTAATTATCAAAAGCATTCACATTTCATGCAATCTCAAGAAGTTTACTTTCCAGGAAAATGGAATCATATATAAAGCACAATTACACAACTAGTAAAATAAATGACAAGGACTACATAATCATTGTATCTTTATGATCTTCCAACACCCTTGACAACTGCCCCTTGAGATTTTGTCCATGTAGCAAAATAATTCTTATATATGAGAAATTATGGCACACGGTGTTGGTGATTGTGGAACTTCCCCTTTTGATAAACGGAAAAGATTATCATAACCAATGGTTAGAGACTGAGTGACATGGCTCAAAGTTGTTTGCAATGGCGCGAGTGCATCCATTCGTTGTCTTCCCTAAAATACTGAGATTCTAAATTCCTCAGAATGTTTCTTTGTTTCTATTTCACTTACATTTTCTTTCCGAGTCATATCTTCAATGCCTAACCTTCCCTATTATTACCGATACGGTTACTACATCTACTATTCTGGGATTTGGCCTGACAACCTCTCTCTGTGCTTATGAGACATGGCAACTTGAGCCGATGTACATATGTACAGGTTCTACGTTGCGACTGACTGGCTGATTCAATGGGAAACAATTTGAATATCATTCGAAATGCTATGACCATTTCCATAATTCAAAGAATTCTAGAAATGGGTAGGAACACTTTTTGGTATTAGAAAGATGATCATTAAAAATATCACGTATAATTGCTGCTGCCGCTTTTGCTAAGGTTAACTTTAACAGTAAATTAAAGATAACATTTTTTAAGTTTTAACTTGTATTATCTATTTGAATATTTCGATTTGTCAATAATTAGTCAAATGAAAATTTCATTGAGAATGCCTCAAATTTTGACAATTTTAAGGTGACAAAATAAAATCGATAATAACAACAGTAACACTAGTTTACAGAAAGTGTTAACTGGGTAGTCGCTTCGGAATGATAATAATTCAATGTATCTAAACCAAATGTGTTATTCAACCTATCTCTAGATTACTGTGGAAAATATAGGAATGTACATTGCTGTCAATAGGGAAAACAAGTTCTGGGAGAAAAAATCATATTTGGTACCGACTGATGTTAATTTTTGCTTCAACCAATTTGAAATAATAGAACTCTGTGCACATTGAATAACAAACAACACCCCCGCCACGAGAAGGCAGTGAGTAGGACTTCCCTGGCAGAGGCTAAATACGCATGGCCATGTGAGAGCATTTCGAGAAGGAGAGCGGACTCTCCCCACTCTCGGCCGTACCAGGGCATTTGGGGGCGAATAACAAGGCATGAATGCAAAGGTTTGATAATTCGCAATTGATCTCGCTTACAATAATATTTAGAATCAACATTGAAAAATGATCAACATTAATGAGCCGTAAACACCAGATACTATAAAAACAAACATGTATAGGTCCACCAGTAAGAAACTATTTAGTATATATATATATATATATATATATATATATATATATATATATATATATATATATATATATATAATTGTATAATAACATACTGAGTGCACCAATTCTCCCAATTCATCATGAGACATATACATTTTAGATGCAAGTTGAAAAATTTGTGGAGCTGCCGTCCGTAATTTGGCCCACGTCACTTTAACAGCTTGATAAGATTCAGTGTGGCAATATTGATAACTATTAGTTGAGGTAGATTTTGTATCAGTACTGCATAAAGGGGGTGGAGGAATACTATAAGAATTATACCGTAAACATGTTGAATTTAATTCAAAATCCAAAATAGTTACTGACTTTCCAGAGAGTAAACTATGATTATTGAGTAAATCTGAATCATGTACATTCTCCGATCGATGACCTGAGTAGTCTGGTAAAAGGAAAATAGGACTCTTTAAAGATATACAAAAGACGAAATTCTCGCTGACTGACAAAATTCAAATAAATATTAAATCGCGATCGAAAAAAAATTATAGGTGTAGCAAGTCATCCTATGTAATATAATACGATAAATTCTACAGAATCTGAAAGATAAAATAAACCAAATCAGTAATCCATGCTAGGACACATACGTATATCACATGTCTTTAAAGCTAATTATCAAGTTCTTAAGTATTCATAAGTAGTGATTAATAGTTTGACAAACTTCTGTCTAAAAGTCAATTCTAGTATAATAATGAAAAATACCTATAAGCAACCTAATTAAATATAGACATCTGTTTGGTTTACTAGGTCTGCATTTCAGATTAAGAGGGATTATGAAGTAACCAATGAACTCATGTGAAACTGTTTACATATTGATCTGACTGTGCTTTAACGACATGAATCAGGACAAGTTATTTTTTTCATTGTATGAACGAAAACAGTATACATTTATTTATGTACTTTACGGATCACATAGTTAAATTTGTCAAGTACATATCGCAAAAATGCTACTACGAAGATGCGTATACCTATCTAACTGAAATCATAAATATAAATCCCGCTTCTAACTCTACTCAAAGTCCATTGAAGATTAATATCCACAGAAAATTATGTGAATGGAATTACTACCTAAATCATTAAGTGTGCTAGAGATTTAAGAATATTTTTAATGAACAGACCATCTACTTTAAGTGGTATGATGGAGTACAGACTTCAGTCATATGAGATACTTGGAAAATAACTCAGTCAGATCAGATGAGCTTTCAGATAATAAAGTTAAGTGCTAAAGCAAAGAGTCCTTAATTATCAATATGACAAAGTGGTTTGCTCAGTATATCATCAGCCAATTATTAAACCTATTTCTTATCATATATTTTCAAGCTTTAGATGTAAGTTAGAGAAAATCACAGGTTCTAGAATTCCAGAAGTTAGTCCTCCTATATCGAAAAACTTTTTGTTTGCATAATTTAGGTTTATCAACCATGGATTAGCCTGTATGAATATCCTGTGATATCAAAAATGAGTGGTATATGACTTAGAAATCAAGAGATATACTTAATCCCACAAGTGACGATTTATTTACTGCAAAAGTAGTAGAATTTCACAATCTTAGATCTGTCCATCCTCCCTCTTTAGATTCACTTACCTAATTTTCACTAGTGCTGTTATCCTTTATTATACCATTTAGAAGTGTAGCCACATAAATTAATATATCAAACGTCATGTATACTATGCTAGTTGACTTTATATAAATAAACTCATGTATTCAAACAAATACCATTGAAACAATCGACTGTATATACATCATGATATAAGGTATATGAAGAGAATCACTCTACAATCAGAAACGAAACAATATTAAGTTAGGAAAGATAATACAAATTTCTTGGAGTGAAGCTTCTAGACAAAGTATGGAAAACATTAGAGAAACTCAATTCAACACAAAGATATATTGTTCGACCAATCATGAATACAAGTATTAAAAACAGTCATGACGTAAGAACTGCGCTAATTTAAATAAAAAGTAAAAGGAAATTATGCTAAACTTTATAAATCAAATTCAGTGTAAGATATACTTACTTTGACTAACGATGTCAGTAGGTGAGCTACAGTCATATTTAAGAGAAGTATAGTTTGGATTTCCTCTGAGATGTGATTTGTTGTAACAGGACTGAAAAAAACGATATAAAATATGAACGTTATCAATACGAATAAAAATCTTACTGATAACCATGCTAAATAGTCTGAAAATTATTCGCATTTCACACATCCTGGATTTACTTAATATGTTATATAACTATTATATATTTAAGGAAATTACTTGATTGAAGACTTAATAGCAAATTATAAGTTGTGAAAAATTGGTCAACTAATTTTCTGAGTTATGCGTGAAATAAGCTAGCACAGTAATCTAATCGTCATAAACAATCAAAGCATTAGGTGAATAAGGGTAAACCGACTAATAGTTAGGTGATACAATGCAAATATTAGAGATAATAAGCAACGTAAATACATGCATAACTAGGATGTAAACAGTGTTATTCATAGTGTAATGCAGCTCGCTAGTTTACGTATTAATTACTAGCTGAGAAGACCCATGTAGCTTTTGGTAAGGCACACAATATTGATTGTTGATTTTGTCGTACAGTAGCTTAGTGCTCTGAAAGCAATCGTACCACAGGTTAAAATCAGATTCATACACTTGATAGTGCTACAGGTACAGACAACTTAAGACATGATGGCATTACTAGTCAAGCAGAAATTGTAGCTTGATATCAATTTTGAGAAGCTTCAAAATGTTATAAATTTCGATTACTTACAAATAACAAAACGTTGGAAACAGATATGGGTTCAAAGTGATCTTCAAACTTAATTAATTAATGGATTAAAAACCAATATGTAAACAAAATAATCTGCGAAAATGTTATAATTACTTGTGTTAGAAGTTTCCAAGAACGAATCGGCCCAAGAGGACCATGATCAGTAACAGAAGAAGGTTTTGCCCAGAAATTAACATTTCCACCAAGTGGTAACCACAGAAGTAAGTTAAGGTGAATTTCAGGTAACTTCAGACATCTGAAACCAAGTACAAATAACGAAGTGAACCAAATTTTAAAGATTTTACCACCAAACGATTGAAGTTACTAGCACAGTAAGTGTAATTACTTTTAATGTAGAATTTCAGTTGCTCAAAAGTGTTAAAACACACTACACACTGTATTGTTACAAAATAAGTGGCTGTAGACACAGGAAATCAACAAATAGTGTTTTATTTAGTGGCATAAGACAAAGTATTTTACCTACAGTAAGCAGTGAAGTGCATCAATACAAGCAGAATTTCCCGAAACTTACAACGGAATTATTCTGGAAATAGCACAACCATTTTTGGCTATACAACTGAAAGAGCGAACTATTAAGGTAGTGACTGGCTTAATGTCAGCTTAGTTGACGGATTATCCTTAGGCCAAAAACCAGAGGACGGGTAACCTGTAGAAATTACCTGAGTTTCCGGATCGTACTCCAACCTACAATAGAAGGGAGTGCTTAAAAAAGAAAAGTTCTTTGTGTCTATTAGAAACACCTATACATGAAAGAATTTAAGAAACTATAGATTTCTAGCTACTGGCAAACTTAGATAAGTTCACAAATGTATAGAAGTGCCCAATTTGGTCACAACTTGTTCGTATCTTATTTCGGCTAATGATAACAATTAAAATTAGAAACTGATGTGACAGTAATTCGCTAAAATGACTACTTATAAGAAATTCTAGATTGAAGGCACTGAAATTAAAACATGGCGTCTAACTAATTAACGAGAACTTTTTATTTAAATAAGTAGTAAGAGTCGGTTTTACATAGCAAAGTAAGCAAAAAATAACGTTCATATGAGAGCACTAAAAATCGATCCGTGATATTAAAACCCATGATAATGATGCAAAAATTACCACAATACGACGAATATCCTGTTTGAACTTACTGAGTATCAGGACACTGAAGTCTTTTTAGAGAACTGCTAATATTACCATCTTCGATTGGGACAAACTCTATTTTAGTGTATCCTAATCGTTCTCGAGCTAAGATCTCAAACAGATAATTCACAACCCAATGTTCTGGACTATTAGTAACTTCAAGTCTGAGTGTTAAAACTTTGTTGTTAAAACTGAATGTTCTGTTCCACTTAAGCTTTTCTACAAATAAATGCCATAAAGTGTCATATAGCTCACCAAAAATTCCAAAGCAACCGTCACCAGAAGTACAAGATTTTTCGTCAATAATCCACAGGAAAGAAAATACTAACACTAATCGCCGATACATCTATTTCTCACAGTTCATTCGTTTTAGCGTGATAAAAATAAAAGTGGAGGTTGTTGCGAGGTGTGCAGACAACAAAACATGCCCATTGAAATAAAATATGCAATTAGTGAATTTGTAGCATGGAAGCCAGGATCGCATGGTTTAAAGATGATAACGTCATCACGTGACACAGGGTCACGTAGCGCCAAATGTGATCGTCGCGGCCATCTGAGCTTTGTTCCTCTAATTTTTCAACGTTCACTAAACAGGCTGCTGTGTCTAGTAATGATGACTGACTGACTTCCTTGTATATAAACATAAATATTTAAAATCCGTCAAGGAAATCGGGCATTACATTTTCGTAAATTTTTGGGAAAAGCTTTAAATAAAAGGCTACTTAGACGACTAATGACGGTGTAACGTAAATAAATCCACAAAATAAATAGCTCTGTAAGTTTTCAACATTGGATGCTGACCACATTAGTTTTGATGGACTCGTCTAGCTGATAGCGCTCGGTCAAGCATCCGCACTAGACCACGTGTGGGAACGCCGTGCTCAACATCTACTGCAGTCGCTAGCCAGATTAGTTCAGATGATCCTCGATATATTGATAGCTTATCAAATAGATCTTCGATCCCCTCGATCCCGTCTTTTGATTTTACTTGGTGGGTGCGCTTCATATTAGAAGGTGTTACTGGTTAAAGCGTTGTCGAATTCCGAATACTTGTGGCATCTTCATTGGTGAGCCCGACGTGATCTGGTACACCAAATTGCAAACTGTGAGTCTGTTCCTTTTTGCGATTTTGTATATCATTGCCTTATTTTAATTTTTCATACATTGTGATTTTTTCCGTGTTGTTGGAGATATATATTTCCCACTCGTTCATTTTTCGTACTTGATACATTAATATGACTGAACAGACACCTAAGGTATTTAAGTTAAAGACTGTGTCCCCACCTTCCTTCCAACTTATGCCCTTCTGGCCAGACAACATCGAAGCCTGGTTTCGCTACGCAGAAGCCGACTTCTACTAGCACAGTGTGAACGACACACGTGCACAATTCCTCGCAGTAGTCAAGGCACTACCGCGCGAATTCAACAGGTACGTAACACCTAGTATGTTTACTAGTGATGTTTCTGACCCATACCAAACCCTGAAACATGCCATCCTTAAACGCGAAGATCTAGCTGATCGAAAAAGGTTAGATCAACTCCTTAACAACATCGACCTGCAACACGGTTCTGCGACAGACATGTGGCAAAGAATGAGAGAAGTTATTGTTCAAAGAACCTTCGATGGTGGCCTGTTCAAACAGATTTTGTTATCAAAACTTCCTCAACAGGTGCAAGCTGTGCTGGTCTCGTTTCAAAACAACGCCGTAGACGAGCTGGATGCATCTGCCGACCGTATCCTTGAAATCAATAAACCTTCTAACGCCGAGGTTTTTCAGTCAAAGAAAAGCCTTTAAACGATCCAGAATGACATAACAGAATTATGTCATACACTTACTCGTTATCTCGGACTCCGTAACGACCGTAGACGGTCTGTATCTAGACCTCGAGAGATGAATAATCTTGACTGGTGCTGGTATCATAATCAGTATGGAAAGTCGCTAGCCAGATTAGTTCAGATGATCCTCGATATATTGATAGCTTATCAAATCTATCTTCGAACCTCTTTGTTTCTGTCTTTCGATTTCACTTGGTGGGTACGCTTCATATATTAGGTGTTACTGGTTAAAGCGTTGTCAAACTCCGAATACTTGTGGCATCTTCAACAGCGACAGACTTCAAGACTTGAGAGTTGATTAAGAGCAGTAGTTTTCCTGTGGTACACGTACTATATTGAATCTGAATCTTTCACAAACTAAACATTATATATCAATATTTGGTCAATGTAATATTGCAGAAAAATAACTCGTCCTGTAGATGTCTACAGTATATACATGTGTGTATTTCAGCCGTTCACCACTCGGCTGAGGAAGTCAAGTCAAGACCTAAGTATTTGTATCCTGATCCACGAGCTTTCTGTGAGTTGGTCCAATACAACTAATAAAGTCAGCGTCAACATGTTAGCTTTACAAAGCATTTTATGTGATTAATTTACTGCTTCGCTTTTAAAAGTTCAGTCAATTTCGTGGAGGCTGAGTCATTCAAACTACATTGGATTCGCTTACATTCTACTTGGTCTTGTATTGTCTAAGCCTGAATTTTTACCTAGACATCCAAAAAACAAAATGAGTTTATTTTCTGTGTGAATGAATTATGAATATACTTTTTGCCCATTTCGAATCTACCGCTGTTTATTCTCCTGGCCCTCTTTCCACTCTTAGCTTCCTTAGGTGTATGAAATATAGGTTTTTACGAGCCTCTTATCATTTTACAGTATTTGATTCAGAGAGGTAGAATAACTTAAATCATTAACCGTTGAGAACTATTATGAATTGGAACAGTTGTAGTTAGATCAAAAGCTATGTCCTATTCCCAAAAAAATCTACCATCACTTTTAGTCTTGCGAAGAAAACGTAAGCTGAACATAAACAAAATACTGTCACTGTTGGATGCCCTAAAAACGTCCTCTAGGTTATCTTTGAATATAGTGAAGCGTGGTGTCCTGTGTCCGATACAGATAAGTTCTCTTCCTTTGCAAATACTCTCCCACAAGAGACTAAATGCAAATAGTGAAAAGGGAAGATTCTTAGTTATCCGAAATAACTATAGCCTTCAAGTGATTTATGTCTCATCCCTTATTGAGTAGATTCATCGCTTGATCAATCACTAGGATTCATTGTTCTGGTGGTTTCCGGTTAACCTACCCTATCATTGGAACAATCGTAAGACGTTAGACGAAACTTCAATCGCTTTGAATTGTCGGGCCAGAGAAACCCTAAATAACCCTAGGCAAGTCATCTACCAAGCCAAATCGTTTCTACGAGACGAAAACTTTGAATAGTTCACGAATATCGCCATGGTCAAGATTGTAGGGTGATAACTGCTGGCAAAACTAAAAAGAAACAAAATGTGTGTAAATATAAATAACTGCAGAAGAACCATATTGTACACAGGAGAATAAGGGAATCGTTATAGGGAAAAACCCTGAAAGATTTTATCACTCGTTCTCGTCCTTTGTGTTATGCGGTCTTCAGAGCATCTTTAGTACCTTGATATGAAGAAGAGGTGATACACGTTAGGTGCTAACCGTAAGGTGCGACTTTTACGTTAGCCGTTGGTCACAGAATTCACGTCCCCAATCATTCGATAGAGATCACCAGCGTTGGCGATCTACAACCATTCCTGTAAAAATGACATAAAGTTGCCACAAAAGAAGTATATGAATTAAATGTCAACGTGCATTCGTACCTGGCTTATGTTTCGTTCATATGAGTCATAATTACTCTGTTTTGTTAACAATTTTGGTTTGGATTCACCTGTAGAATTATGGTCTGTTTTGTAATTAGTACCTCTCTAATAATAGACCTAATCTTAAAATTGTGAATTTGTCATGTGGCAGCTGCGTAGTCTATAAAATCTTACGTGGAAGTCACATCATTGTCTACACTGACTCATAGCATCGTAAAAATCACCAATATATGATGAAGAACATATTTAGGCAGGAGATAGGAAAACATATTTGATATGAATAAAAGAGAAAATTTTCACAAGAATGACCAAACCTGCAAGGCTGAGTCACGTCATCCGGCTGCAATTAAACGTGACTCGATTTCGTAATCGTTGTAGTCTGCTTAGCGACCAATCAGAATTGTGCGGGAATCATTTTATCCGCCATCTTCGTAGCAACGGGGGTCGGTTTTCTTCGTTCTGTTTTTCCCCCTGTTTTTTCTGTTTAGCCATATAATTTATTCTTTCAGCGTGTTGAAATGTCGCAGTTAATATAATGCTTTAAATGCTGACTCGAATTCTATTTGATACAAATTTTTCTAGGTTTTAGCTGCTTCTACTCAAACCGATGTATTTGTTCAGGTAAGGTCGTTAGTCATATGTTATAAAATGTTAATCCGTCTTGTTTTGAGTATTATTTTTTAGTTATCGAAAGCCGAAGTCAGTTTTTCTATATAAAATAAGTGTTTTTGCTGCATGGAACTTTAACTGTCCTCATGTTCCTTCCTAACAAACATTTATGATGTAATCAGGCAAAACGAAAAAAGTCTCCGGTTCGTTATTTTCTTCAGCATTATGGATAACCCTACACCATCAATCAGTCAAACCAATACTGAGTCCTCAGTAGTTGTGCATACCAGTGATGTTTTTGAAAGTGTCATGATACAAAGTTAGAGATGCTATCGATCTGTTGCAAAAGGTTTGTTATCAAAAATTCAACATACAAAATTAATAGGTGAGTTGAACGTATTACGTCGTACATGCAAGCAAGCCTAACATGGAAAAGCTGGGAGTTCGCTATCAGTATCTGGTGTATGTTTTGGCCATAAAAAAAGCCGGAAGGCCATGGTCAGAGAGTAAAAAGGGTGAATAACTGTTATTATTCTTACTTTTCATAGATCAAATTTTGCTGGTTGTATCACTATGTTTCGTTTGCTGTATGATGTCACTTAGTGCGTAATAGCGTTATGGAAGATGATACACAATCACCCATGTGGTGAAAAAAACTTAAAAAGCGATTCATAGTTCAAAATATTAAATCATGATCACTTGAAATTTGTTATATCTATGGTTGAAGCTAGGAGTAATGCTGATCAGATAGTTAAGTGTGTAGATGACCATTTTGAAAAGACGATTACTGTGCAAGACGTCAATAGTTCGACGTGGAAAATTGTCAAAAGTACGTTTATTCCATAGATCTAGGGTGTTTTATGTTGTGGTAGTTTTATCGACGTACGTTCAACGTCACGCAATAGGGGAAATGTGTTTGTTTGTTATCGTGGTATGATCAACTAGGTAATGAGAATAGCATTTATTACGTACTGGCAAATTGAAACGTACAACCGAATTTTTGAAGTTATTTGCTTGGATTCAACACACAACACTAACAGAGGAAAGTAA